TTCTTTACCCACAGTTACCGCCCCTCCAGCCCCCCCGGCCGCCGCATCCCGGTTCCGTGCAGCCCCGGCGCGGAGCAGCCGCTGTCACCTTTTGTCCTTCGTGGCCGAGGAGCGCGGGGAGCGCGTCGGGAGGGCGCTGGCAGCCCTTCTGCAGCTTGTGCTGCACGAACTCCTGCAGGGAGCTGAACTCGGCCTGGCAGCGCCCGCACCGGTGCACGTCATCCTCGTCTGCGGGGACAGCTCCGTCACACACGGCGGCGTGCCCCCCGCCCCGCATCCCCCCGCGCCCAGCCCCGCACACCGGCACAGCGGTACAGCGGCACACCGACACACCACACACCGACACACTGACACACCACACACCGGCACACCGGCACACCCACAGCCGCCGCTCTGCCCGCGCCGGGGCTGCCAGCGGACACACGGATCCCCAGCCCCGCAGGCAGCACCGGCGCGGCCGGGCGGGCCCTGGGGAAGCCGTGGCGGCGCGCGGGCCGTACCTTGCTCGGCGAAGGGCGGCGGGAGCCCGAGCAGCGCGGCGGGGCCCGCGGGGGCCGCGGCCCGGCCCGGCCCGGCCGGGGCTGCCGTAAGCGCCGCCGGCCCCGCGCCCGTTGCCATCGCGGCCCCCGTGTCGCAACGCGCCGCAAGATGGCGGCTTTACGGCCGTGTCGTCATAACAACGGGACGGGGCTCGGCGGGGAACGCGCCCCGCCGCGCGGGGGTTCCGGGCGCCCCGTGGGCGGTGTTGGGACACGGCGCCCGCGCGCCCCGCGGCGACCTCTGAGCGCCGCGAGCCGGCGGAGCGGAGCGTGCCGAGTTACCGACGGGTCACCGGGGAGTCTCCGGCGAGTTACCGCGGGGTTACCCCGCGCGTTACCTCGGGAACCTCACAGCGCCCGCCGGCACCGCGCGGCCCCGGCCAATGGCAGCGCGCGGGGGGCGGGCCCTCGGTGTGGGCACCCAATGGGAGCGCAGCGCGCAGGGACGGGAGGGCGGCGCGGCGGGGACCGGCTCCGGTGGGGGGCGTGGCCGCCGGCACCGCCGGCCAATGGAGACGAGGCCCGTGCGGGGCGCGGCCAATGGGGAGGCCGGGGGGGCGGGCCCGGGGCCAATGGGCGGCGCGGGGCGCTGAGGGCGCTCAGGGCGGTCATGGCGGGCGCGGCGGGGCCGCGGCGCTGCCGGCGGCTGGAGGGCGAGGCGGCGCGGGCCCTGCTCGCCAACGCCGACACGCTGCTCTTCGACTGCGACGGCGTCCTGTGGCGGGGCGAGGCGGCCATCAGCGGCGCGCCCGCCGCGCTGGGCCGGCTGGCGGCGGCGGGCAAGCGGCTGTGCTACGTGACCAACAACAGCGGGCGGACGCGCGCGGCCTACACCGAGAAGCTGCGGCGCCTCGGCTTCCCGCCCGCCGAGCCCCGCCACATCTTCGGCTCGGCCTTCTGCGCCGCCCGCTACCTGCGCCAGGCGCTGCCGCCCGGCGCCGCCGCCTACGTGCTGGGCGGGCCCGCGCTCGCCGCCGAGCTGGAGGCCGTGGGCATCCCGCACCTCGGGCCCGGGCCCGCCGCACTGCCCGGCCCCGCGCCCGCCGACTGGGCGCAGGCGCCGCTCGACCCCAACGTGGGCGCCGTGCTCGTGGGCTTCGACGAGCACTTCAGCTACGCGAAGCTGTGCCAGGCGCTGCGGTACCTGCTGCGGAACCCCGACTGCCTGCTCGTCGGCACCAACCGCGACCACCGGCTGCCGCTCGAGGGCGGCGCCGCCATCCCCGGTGCGCCAGGCGGGGGGGCGGAGGGGGTGGTCCCGGTCCCCGGCTCTGCGGGACTCCGTGCTTAGCCCTGAATCATCACACCTCAGTGCTGTGTTGATAGAACAGGAAGCTGCACCTCAATATGAGGAAGAGCTTCCTTCCATGAAAGGTGGCAGATTAGTGGAACAGCTGCCCAGGGGGGCCATGGAGTCTCCCTCTCTGCAGACATTCCAGCCCCACCTGGACAGCCCCTGTGTCACCTGCTGCAGGTGACCCTGCCTGGGCAGGGGGTTGGCCTGGGTGATCTCCAGAGGTCCCTTCCAACCCCAGCTATTCTGGGATTCTGTGTGGCAGCCCAGGTGTCCCAGAGCCTGGACTTTGCCTCACAGCACCCCTGAAAGAGGGAGAATCCGTGCTTAGCCTTTACTCAGGGAACAGTGGGTCGTTTTTTGACTCCATGTGGGACAGAATTCCAGCCTCCCAAGAGGCATCACGTGCCCCCGTGCTGGGGCTGGGCTGTCCCCGTGATGTAAAGCCGAGCTGCTGTGTCCCCAGAGCGTGGGTGGGTGTGGGTGCTGGAGCCCCGAGCTGGCCCTGACCCGCTGTGTGTCCCCAGGGACGGGCTGCCTGGTGAAGGCGGTGGAGACGGCGGCGCAGCGCGAGGCCTTCATCGTGGGCAAGCCCAACCGCTTCATGTTCGACTGCGTGGCCAGCGAGTTCCCCGTGGACCCCGCCCGCACCATCATGGTGGGGGACCGGCTGGACACGGACATCCTGCTGGGGAACAGCTGCGGGCTCACCACGCTGCTCACCCTCACCGGCGTCACCGCGCTCGGGGAGGTCCAGGCCCACCTGGACAGCGACTGCCCCGCCAGGCACAGCCTGGTGCCCGACTACTACGTCGACAGCATCGCCGACCTGCTCGACCTGCTGCCGGCCCCGGGCGAGTAACGGGGCAGCGCTGCCCCGGGGACAGCCCCCGGGGCGGTCACCTCCTCACTAGGTACTCCCCGGAGTTAGCAACCCTTAGCTTCTCACCCCTCTGTCCTCTCGGTATGATCCTGTTTACATCTCGCTCTCGAAATGCACTTTGGAACAAAGGGGGCATTGCAGTGGCCCCCAGGGCTGGGGCTTGGGGCTGGTTTTAGTTATAAACAAATCTCTCCAGTGTTAGTGATGCTCCACGGCACAGAGTCCTCTGGATTGGGCTGGGGAAGTGGAGCTGGTTGATGTGAGGAGAAGGGCTGTGTTCTGGCCAGGCTGGGCTGGGGCTCAGCCTGGTTTGTTCAGGGAAATGACTCTCGGCATGTGCAGGAACTGTGGTGGTATGGAGCTGGTGTTTGCCCTGGGGATGATTCTTTTTCCCCCTGGGGCCCTGTTCAGGGGTGTTCCAGGGCACAGCCCCATGTCAAGTCACAAACAAATTCATCTCCTTCGTTTGACCACTGCAGATTGCCCCTGTGACACAGGTGGGGATGGTCCCACACGAATCCAAACCGTGGCTGCTGCACACTGTGTCTGTGCGGGGTCAGGTGTGTGTACAGCACATACACACAGGCACTCCCTGAGCCCAAGGACAGAGCAGAATATATTTAAATTATAAATTTAAGCAGAGTCTATGATAATATATCTTGCTTCCCAGGAGGGAGGATGAGAGGAATGTACTTACTGGTGACAGTAGCTGTAATTCTCCTGCATGCAGAGTCTGTAGCCATACAGGACCGTCCTCCACTCCTGCTGCTTCCCAGGAATACCCAGATCGATCCGTACCGAGTTCTGTGCTTCCCTCAGCATCAACACAGCCGCTTGCTTTGGCTTTAGGTGCAGACCCCCAGGTCCTGCTCAGTCCCTGGATGGGTGTGGGGCCCAGGGCAGCTCTCCCCAGGGGCTCCTGTGAGTGGCAATGGTACGTGCTTCCTTCCCACCCCAGGTTTCCTCCTTCCAGGGGGACTGGGCATGGTGGGGCTGTGAGGAGGGCTGGCTCGCTCAGGGATGATTTCAGTTTGGTCTCCAGGTGGGGTGGGTGGGGTGAAGGGCTCAGCCATGGGGTGGGATTCTGTGCTGGCTGAACCCACTGTGAAAGCTTTTGCGTTATAGAATTAACTGAAGATTATATATGCAAATAACACGCTTCTGTTCCATAGATTCCGGTATCTGCAGTTCAATTTTAGCACTGGTTTTCCTTCCTGTCGTGCTGTCCAGCTGTGGCAGTGCTGATGCCATTTCCTGCTTGGTAACTTGTCACCTTGTTTGTACAGCAATAACCCTGCGGTCCAGAGGGTCTCGGGGTTCCCAGAGTGTTGGCTGATCCTTTGAAAGGCTGTTTGTTTGTAATTTGGAGTTGTGCCAGGAACTGTGGATAATCTCTTCCCCGCTCCTGTCTCTGCTGGAAGGACTGTGTGGAGTCACCCGGGCAGAACCTGCCCTTGACGCGGGTGACGTGGGAATGGACAGTGTGGATTCACCGCAGGTCGTGTCCAATGTGACCGTGTGTCGTTGGATTCAGCCCCTGGATCTGGTGCTTTCATTGTCAGGATGTGTCAGGAGAGGTCCAGCCTGCCTCGGGCAGCCCTGCCCTGCCGAGGGCTCTCTCTGGCCGAGGGAGCCGTTGCCTGGACTCAGGGATGCTGGAACATGCTGGTGGTGGTGTCAGTCGTGCTTCAGAACTCTCTACCGACTTCCAAACGGTTTTTAATCCTCTACTTGAATTCCCATTAAACTCTCAAACCTGCTCTCCCTGTATTGTCTCATTTTGTGGTCTCGTCTCCACAAGCTTTGGTGCAGCTGTGCCGTGGGAACCCTGGGAGTTAGGGATGCACTTTGGAAGGGAGCCTGAAGATTCCTTCCCAGTCTCCCATCCAACCCTGCCCTCTGGCAGTGGGAAGCCATTCCGCCCTGTCCTGTCGCTCCAGGCCCTTGTCCAAAGTCTCCCTCCAGCTTTGCTGTGGGCTCTCTTCAGCCAGTTTGGTCAGCCCTGGGTCATGCTTGGTAGGAGAACATCCCAAAGCTGCATTTTCCCTGGGTAGACACCACCTGAAGGAATGTGAGCTCTTCCTTGTCTCCACACCTTGGTTGTGTCTGGCTGGCAGGTCCCAGCTGAGGCTCCTGGACTGCTCAGGATCTGGGGATCTGGGAATGCCGTTCCCTGGGGTGTTTCCAGGGCAGGACACGGGTGGCAGCGCAGGTGGTGACGGGGACATTGTGCCAGCGCCCTGTCTGCAGGCGGGCAGGGGTGTCTGAGCTTGGGACAGCGGCATCAGCCTTGGCAGAGCACAGAGTGCTGCTGAAATGTGGAAGCAGCCGCTGCCAAGGGCAGGCTGCCACTGTCCCCTGCCATTCGATCCCTCAATGAGCCCCACCTGGGCCCTGCCAGCCCCGGGGCCGCACAAAGCCCCGATTGTGGCTCCCTGCGGGACAGGGCCGCACTGACAGCGGCTCCGGGCACACCTGCAGCTCCCGTGGAGCCCCTCGGCTGCAGGGACGGGTATTTATGTCTGCTGGATGCACGTTCAGGTTTCCCAGGTGTGCCTGGAGCCGGGATCATGCCCAGTCTGTGCGTGGGCAGGAGGCAGAGCGGCAGCAGCCAGGTCCTCGCCTGAAGAGGAGGATGGAGGGTGGGGACGGCGCCGACCCTGCTGCCCCTGCAGTGAGTATCCCTGTTCCCAGCAAATCCCAGGCAAAGGCTGGCTCTGTCCTTCCTCTGGGGCTTGACTTAGGACAAGGGTGTGACCAGACAACTGGGAATGACTTCCCACTGCCATCACAGGAATAAATCTTTCCCTCTGAGGGTGGGCAGGCCCTGGCACAGGTTGACCAGAGGAGCTGTGGCTGCCCCATCCCTGGAAATGTCCAAGGCCAGGTTAGACAGGGCTTGGAGCAACCTGGGCTGGTGGAAGGTGTCCCTGCCCATGGCAGTGGGGTGGAACTGGTGGGTTTTAAGGTCCCTTCCAATCCAAACCATTCCAGGATTCCACAATTCTATCACAGACAGAGCCCCTGCTCTGTGCTTGCCTGATTCTGCTCTGAAGTGGCTGAGATCCCACCATTCCTCTGGATCCTGGTAAGGTTTTGCTCATCCTCAGCACCCCCAGTTCAGCTCCTGTAAGGCAGCTGGCTGTCAGCTGGGTTGGTTGGAACTTAGAGGGGTTAAACCTGTCGGGTAACAGGTCAGAGTGCCAAGGAAGCCTGGCCTGAGGCAGCAGAGGGGATGAGTGTGAGCCTGAGCCCAGAGCTGCCAGGGCTGGGAGCTGCTGGATTGCTCTGTGTGCACCTTTCCCACCTGAGGGAATTCCATTAGCTATTGAAATCCTGCCAGTTACTGCAGGGCTGGGGCTCTGCTCTGTTTGGATCAATAGGATTTCAGATATGTGCAGTTTTAACTCACTGCTTCTCTGGGGGAATAATCTCGAAGTTCCCCATTTGCAGCTAAGATCTGTAACTGCCCAAAGCTGGATGAACTTGTGCAGTTGGAGCACATCTAACCCTCAGTTCTTCAGAGAACTGAGAAACAGGTTAATTTTTTAAGAGTGGCTTGTGTTTGAGATTATCAAAAGCACATTTTCTGCTTTGTAAAAATCCCGTTATGTACCATGAAGTTAAATTTAATTGCTCTAACATGAGAATTAAAGTAAATTAATAGAGCCAAGAGAAGTGTCACAGGAGTGCTGAGCTCTTTTGCTTGGTCCCATGGAGAGCAGCTTAGCAAGAATATCCAACACAACTGAACACAGGGAGGGGCATGGAAGCAGGGTCACATCCACATGGGGTCTGATTCCAGTGCTGACGGCTCCTCTGGGGACTTCTGCTGTAAACCCAAATAATTTAATTTGTTGTTCCCTGTGTGTGGAAAGCTGCTGCTCCAACCCTGCCCTGGGGGTGTTGCAGCCTCTCTGGCTGTGGCAGTGCTGGTTACTGGGATGTGGGATCTGGAATTCCAGCACTGTGGGATGAAAGTGCCATTATTCCAGGTGTTGTGAGGGTTTGGCTGTTCTGCACTGCAACCAGTTTGCACAAGCATTTGTGTCATGAGCAGGAAGCACATTTGATGATGAAGAATTGGCAAAAGGGTCAATTTTAACTCCTGTTTCTCCTTCCTTTGCCCGGTTCCCAGGACAGGAGGGCCACAGCACGACTCCCAGCTCCCTCCAGGACCTTCTGGATCAGCCTGTCCATTGCCTTGTTATTTTTTGCAGTTGTTGGCATCAGCGTGGTGGGGGTTCTCAGCTTGTCCCCCAGCTCTGCCCAGGTAAGGGATCCCAATCCAGCAGGAAGCCCCTCCTGCCCACAGCCCCAGGTTGTGTGGGCAGCAGTTCCCAGCAGGGATGAGCAGGGGGAGATCAGGGCTGGGTTTGGCTGGATCCCATCCTGGAGGAGGCAGGAAGGTGCCAGCAGGCTGCAGGCAGGGCTGTGGCAGTGGCTGGGAGTCCCCTGGCCCTTTCCTCCAGCACCTGGTGCCTTTGGCTCGAGGGCACTGGTGCCTCTCCCCAGCCCTGCATGATGGAGAGCAGATCATCCTTCCTGTGAGTCAGGGCTTCCTTCTCTCAGTTCCTAAACCCTCCAGGTGAGCAGCAGGGGCCAGCACAGGGCGTTGGGGGGGGATGTTGGTGGGAGATGCTGGAACGAGCAGCTGCCGGTGGGTGCTGCCTGCCCGCTCCTTGTGCCCAGGCTGGCTCCCAGCCCGCCCGACTGACGCTGCAGGGCCAGCAGGACCCCCTGAGGAACCAAACAGCCCTGGTGGACAAGTCCAGGAGCACTGTCACCTACTACGTCACCTCGCAGAGCAACCTCAGCGCCGTGGTGCTGTTCGACGGCAGCAACGTGAGTGCTGGGGCTGGGCGAGTGCTCAGAGCAGCCCGGGCTGCTGGGGCGGGAGCACGAGGTGTGGGCCTGGAAGAACACCTGCTTGGTGCCTTTCTCTGCACCTTCAGTCAGGAAAGACAATGCAAGGGAGAGGAGGAATGCCCATTTTTGGGGCTCCTCAGCTGTGGGTGCGTGTCCTGCCCGCTCTGAGGGCTGTCTGTCTGGCAGGGCTACGTGTGCTACAAGCCCGTGGAGCAGAGCACGTGCTACCTGAAGAGGATGGACCCCTGGGACCTGCAGACCCTGCAGGCAGCTCTCAACACGTCTGAGCAGAGGGTGAGCACTGCTGTGGCCATGGGGGGACAGCTGTGGGGATGGGGGCACAGACTGGGCTTTGCACGGGGTCCTGGCTCACGGAAAGCCCTCTCCTGGGGGGATTTGCAGTGGTGATTCCCTACCACCAGCACACCAGGCAGGGCTGGAGGAGGGCAAAGGGCTCTCCCAGCCCGGGGGAGCACAGTCAGCCCCAAGTTCTGTGCAATTCCTGCTGGGGGGATCCTCGGGAGGATTTAACAGGGATGTTTCTTTCAGGCCGAGCAGCTGCTCCGTCACAACAACCACACCAAGTACTACCGCGAGTTCCTGGGCATCGTGGCGGGGGAGCAGGTGGAGCCCAAGGGCCTGGGGGAGGCTGTGCAGGGCCTGTGTGAGCACACAGCCATCTTCTGGGTGCACAGAGGGCAGGGTAAGTGGCACAGTCCCCTTGGCAGGGGAAGCACAAGCTTTTCTCGCGCTCTAAGAGGATCAGGCTCTGCCGCACAAAAGCTGATGCATCCCAGGACAGGCTGCCAAGGCCCAGGACAGGGACAGGTGACCTCTAGAGCAAAATCAAACCATTGTTCACCATCCCCCTGTGCTGGCTCGTACCCACACCCTGCCCTGGCTGGGATGGGCTCTGAGCCCCCACCCCGGGCAGCACAGCCCGACTGCAGAGCACAGCCACCACACAGAGCTGTCCCCTGGGACACTGCTGCCTCAATCCTTGTCACCTCCATCCTCACACGAGCAGCCTGCCGAGCTGTCAGTCAGCTCCAGCTTTAATGAGGAAGGTCGCTCCCTGAGGCTTTCCACTCGCTCACCTCCCCAGGGACTCGTGGCTGCAGCATCAAAGCATTCCTCTCACCTGCTCCTCTCCTTGCTCGTTGGCAGGTCCTGGGAAGCAGCGGCTGATCTACCTGTGCATTGACATCTGCTTTCCAAGCAACATCTGTGTCTCTATCTGCTTCTATTACCTCCCTGAGTAAGTGCTGAGCCGTGGATGCCCTCTTGCTGCCCTACATACTTGAACTGGATTCCTGAAAAGCCTCCCATTTCCACAAGGAAGGCAACACCCACAGCATCCCCAGAGCCTCCTGCTGATTTCACGCTGCACCTCGGGAGGGTTTAGAGAAACAAAGAGGCTTCTGCTCAGCACTGGCAGCACAGACACTCCCTGCAGCTCTGCCCTAGGGCTGCCACATCCATAGGAATTAGGAGCCCCAGGCCTAGAGGAATCCCGGGGAGCAGCTGGTGTTCTGGGGCTCCGTGCCCTGTCCAGCACAAGGTGGTTACATTTGCTGGGGTTGGCTTCAGGAGAGCAGCTCTCCAAGTCACTTTGTGAAACACTTTCAATAAAGGGATTGCAACCAAGACAAGAGCTGCCTTTCCTCTTTGCTCAGTCTCTCCCATCGCTTAGAAAGTCTCATTTTTATTTTTCTCCCACTTTGGGGTACAAGAACATACCAAGCTGTCAGCAGCTGATGCCACAGGCATTCCTCCAGCTCAACTGTACCTGTCTCCCTGCAGTGGGATCATGTCCCCTGTCCCATTCCCTCCCTTGGAGACCACACACATCTCAGCAATGTCCTGCTCAGAGCTGAAGTCTGGTCTCACCCCAGGCAGCTGCAGCTGCTTCTGCCAGGGCCCAAGCCCTCTCCATCGGGGAGGGGACAGGTACAGTGCATGTCCTGGCTCTGGAGAGAGTCCTTGTAACCTTGCCTTGCCAGGCAAAGGAAAACACACAGAGCTCCTCTCCTTCCCACACGTGCCCGTTATCCCAACACGCTGTCGTTGAAGGCAAGGCAGACCACGGCCTTCTGGTGGCCACTGTACTCCCTCTTGATCTCTCCTGTCTCCACACACCAAAGTCTGGCCAGGTTATCAGAGGAGGCTGAAACAAAGAGTGAAAAAAAGGAGTGGGATGTATGGCATTACATTATAAACTTCTTCTTTTCTTCTTCTTCTTCTTCTTAGAAATAGTTTCCTCTTGCTTCACTCACCACCATCCTTAGGGCTGGTGATGACCAGCAAGGCAGAGCAGCTCAGTGCATTTCTGTATTAACTGGGATTTTAATAAAGAGCAGTGACTGTGGAAATTACCACGGGTTTGTTTTGAAGGGACAACCACGCTGCACACTGCGAGCAGCACTGATCCCAGGTGAGATCAACTGCCCACCTGGAGACCCCCTCTCTGGTTTGAACAGGTGTCCAGTTTGAACATGCTGAGGATGTGAGCCTGGCTGCTCCCACCTGTGCCCAGGTGTGGCAATGTCCCAGCCACGGCAACTGGTCAGCCCTGTGCTGGTGCAGGCCCAGGTGCCTCACCTGTGACGATGTACTGGGAGTCCCCGGAGAAGGCACAGTCCCACATCCAGCCCCGAGACGTCTCCCCGGGGTTGTTGCTCTTAATGCTCAGCTCTGTCATCAGAGAGAAGTTTGAAGTCCTCCAGATCTTGCAAGTCTGATCTGCAGAACAGGTAGCCAAGAGCCTGCAAGGAGGAGCCATGTGAGGGTGACCTTGTCAGTCACGCTGTCCACCCACAGGGCTCTGGTCACCACGGGCCTGGCCGGTGATGGCCTGGAGACCTGCTTTCACTGCACTCACTCACACCTCCTTACACCTGTATTGTCTGATTTATGAGATTCCAGCTGAACAGACTCCATGGAGGAGCTCACACTGCTCCTGGAGATCAGCAGTGGGATCCCAGCTGCAGGAACAGCTCGTGGCTGCAAACCTTGCTGAGCTCAGGGAGCACGAGTGGGACGCCACTGAGAGCAACCCTGTGGTGACACATCCCCTGCGTGCTCCCTGGGGCCCTGCAGCGTGGGGCCAGCATCAGCCACGGCTGGGGGCACAGCTGGGGGCACAGCTGGGCTCTGCCTGCCCGGGAAGGCCGCGTTTCCCAGGGGAGGGAGGAGAGGGCTGCCCACACGCACGTGGAGTCGGGGCTGAACTTGCACTGCAGGGCGTAGCGATTGTGCGCCGGGATCTTGGTCTTGGGGATCAGCTGCGTCACCTCCTCGCCAATGCCGCCTGTCAGGTTCCACACGTAGCAGTTTCCCTGTGCAGAGACAGTGGGGTCTGTGCTCCCACCCCCAGCCCGGCTGTGCCCGTGCCGCTGGCGCGGGAGGCGCGGCCGTCCCCGAGCTCACCGAGCTGTTCACAGCCGCCATGTAACTGGCATCGGGGTCGATGTGCACCGAGTTCACCGACACCTCGGGCTCCGGGATGAGCTGCTCGTTGTGGTCGGTCTTCAGGTCCCAGATGTGGATGGCACCGCTCTGGTCGCCCACGATCAGCTCTGCCTGCAAGGGAACAGCCCCCCGTGAGCAGCAGCCCTGAGCTGACCCCCTGATGGTGCCTGTGCAGCACCACGGGGAGCCCTGCTCTGCTTTCAAGCACCAGGGTCCTGTTCTGCCTCCTTTCTCCCCAGCACAGTGCTGTTCCACACACTGGTTGCACGGAGAGCAAGCCAAGGCCTGACTCCTGTCACACTCTGCAAAAGGCTGTTTCCCTTCCCAGAAGTGTTTGTTAATTTTCTAAACCCCAGAGCAGCTGCCTGAATTCCAGGGCTGTTGCACACCTACAGCTCCGAACAAAATCCACAGGAGCCAAGTGATTTTCAGCACATCTGAGAGGAAGCATTTAGATGCAGTTTGGCCAGTGAACAACTGAAGCACTCAAGAGCACACAGATACCTGAAAAACACAAACTGGAGTGGTTTTTTTCTCTCTCTCCTGCCTTCTCAGGGGAAGGACAAGAGCCAGCTGAAGGGCAGAGTCCTGGCTCTGATCCCATGCTCAGAGCAGAAGACAATGCTGGCACCTCTCCACCCAAACAGGGCTTTATCGACGGCCCTGCGCTGCCCACAACTCCAGCACAACCCCTAGAGGAGATCAGGTCATCAGGCACAGCTAATCCTGGACCTGGGAGCACAGACACCACTGACATATTCACCTGACTGCACAGAAGCCTTTTCTGGGCACCTCAATCCTCAGCCCCTTTTGGCAGGTGTAAAGTGCAATTCCTGAAGCCATCACAATTTACCCAGGCCATGAGGAATCTCTGGGATACCTGGAGCAGCATCTCTGCAGGGGGAATTGCAGAGCCATGGACCTACCTGAAGAAATGCTGCCACCTTTGGACTAATTAACCACGTTCTGCTCACAAACCAACACGGCACCTCAGCTATATAACTGGTCTCAAATCTGGTCTGAAATTCCTGATTTGCAAAATTAAACCTTTGCCAAATGAAATGCAAAGGAACACTTCATTACTCAGCATTTTACATGGGTCTGCACTGCCCTGTCTGCAAGCAAAGCCCCAGACCTGCAGCCCAGCAGAGTCATTAGCACTGCAATGATCTCTATTGATTTCCCTGCTAATGCACCATGTTCTCTTCAGCCTTGTTCCAAGGCCCAGCCCTTCCTCTGCTCAGCAACTTCAACAACTGCTGAACCCACTGGTGAAACTCAAAGGGGATGGGAATCGTGGCTGTGGGCCCTGAGATGCCTTTTTTTGCCAGCAGTGCCACCCAAAGCTCCTGGCACCATCAGCTTGGCCAGGGAGGGGGCAGATGGGAGGTGAGAAGGAGGCTGCTGCCTGTCCTGCAATGCCACCAAGAGCCCATGGGTCTGTGCCACCAGGAAGGTCACCCACCCAGACACCCTCCCAAAATCTTCTGCTGGGATACAGCTCTGCAGCCCCTCAGATTTACCCAGAGGAGCCACAGTAACAACTTGTCCAGAGGAACTGTGGCTGCCCCATCCCTGGAAGTGTCCAAGGCCAGGTAGGACAGGGCTTGGAGCCGCCTGGGCTGGTGGAAGGTGTCCATGGCAGGGAGTTGGACAAGATGAGCTTGAAGATCCCTTCCACAGGCTTCTGAGTGCTGGAGCCCACGGAAGGAGCCAGTTTGCTCACCTGGTTGGGGTGCAGGCAGACACAGTTGATGGGAGCGTTCACCTGGAAAATGCGCTGGCACTGGAGGTTCCGGGACCTGCGACAGACAGCGAGGAAGGGGCGTGTTTGGCAGCCTGGGATCAGCCCCACAGCCCCAGGACAGGGCTGGACGAGGGGACACCCCTGCCCACCTGAGGTCCCAGACGCGGGCCCTGCAGTGCCCCCCGTGCCCACCTGAGGTCCCAGATGCGGGCCATGCAGTCCTCGCCGCCCGTGTACATCCAGCGCCCGTCCTCGTGGAACCCCACCGAGGTGATGTTCTTGCTCACGCCGTCGTAGTTGATGACGGGGTTGGGGTTGTTGGAGTTGAGGTCGTACATGCGGATGTGCTGGTACCCTGCGAGCACGGGGCAGGGGGTGGGCGCCGTCCCCGTGCCCGCTGTGCCCGGTGTGCCCGGTGTGCCCGGTGTGCCCGCTGTGCCCGGCGGGACGGGCGCGCTCACCTGCGGCTGCGATCATGCTGCGGTCCGGCGTGATCTCCAGGGCGTTCACCTGCTGCGGGCGCCGTTAAGGTCGGTACGGAGCACCCGCCGGGCCCGCCCCGCGTTGCCCCGAGCCCCGGCAAGGATACGGAGTCCTGGTGCTGCACCGTGCGGGTGCAGATGCCGCTGTGCGCCTGCCAGAACCGCACCGTGTGGTCGTAGCCGGCCGTGGCCAGGATGACGGGGTCGCTGCCCACCGTGCCCTGCGCCGCGTTCATGGTGCCCCTCACACCGGGGGTGTCCCTCACACCGCGGGGGGGTGTCCCTCACACCGGGGGTGTCCCTCACACCGGGAGGGTGTCCCTCACACCGGGGGGGTCCCTCACACCGGGAGGGTGTCCCTCACACCACGAGGGGGTCCCTCACACCGGGGCTCCCCCGCTCCCCTCCCTGTCCGCCCCCTTCCCCTTCCCGGTGCTCGCTCCCGCTGCTCCCGGTGCTCCGTCCCGGCTCTGCGCACGCGCCCGAGCAGGCCCGAGCCGCCCCCGGCGGGAGCGCGCATGAGCGGCAGCGGCGCGGCGGGACGTACCATGGGTGGCGAGGAGGGGGGCGTGAGGTGAGACCACGGAGCAGCACGGGGGGGGGGGAAATTCCCAGAGCCCGCGCCAGGGGGCGCAGTGATGGGGGAGAGGGAACGGGATTGGGGATGCGGGGTGTGGGATGGGGGATGTGGGGTGTGGGATGGGGGATGTGGGATATGGGAGATGGGACACGCACCGGGAACCGGGCACACACCGGGCATGGGACACACACCGGGCATGGAGCACACACTGCACTGGGGTACCCGATGGGCACGGAGCACAGACGGGACACACCGGGCACCGGGAGCCGGGCACCGGGCACACAGCGGGCACACGCGGGGCACACACAGGGCACGCAGCGGCCACCCCGGAGCCGCCCCTTGTGCCGTTGCGGCCCCGGGCAGGGCGGGCGGCTCGGCGCGGTGCC